AGGAACAAGGAAAAAGGGATTATGCCAATCTAACTTTTCGTGATGGTTTTCTGGATGTTTCTCGGGTGTTTTTGAACCAAATTATGAGATAGGGCGTTTTTGAACCAAACTCTGAGGATAGGGCGTTCTGCAGCCAAATTCTGAAGTAAGGTGTTCTTCAGCCATTTACTGAGATAGGGCGTTTTGAATTCGGCTGCCGAGATCTTCCACTCAGCCGTCGATATGCTGTTTTTTGCTTTTTAATTTTAAAAGCAAATAATTTGTTTTTAAATTTAGGATTTTTCCGCATTTTTTGGGTTTTTAAGTGTTTTCAGTTTTGTTTCAGAATTTTTGGGGTCTTCAGAATGTTGTATCTATTTATTAAGATTTTTTCGGATTGTAGCACTTTTTCACACTTACGCATTTTTTCAGATTTTCACACTTTTTCGGATTTTCGTATTTTTTCGGATTTTCGTATTTTCTCGGATTTTCGTATTTTCTCGGATTTTCGTATTTTTTCGGATTTTATGATTTTCGTATTTTTCGGATTTTCGCATTTTTCAGATTTTCGTATTTTTTCTGATTTTCGTTTTCTTTCGGATTTTCGTATTTTTTCGGGTTTTCATATTTTTCGAAACTTCGATTTGTTTAGAAATATCGAATTTTTCTAGAATTTTCAATGTTGCCGAAATGTCGAATTTTTTTAGAATATCGTATTTTTCATGCTCTGGATTTGTACGCAATTCTGGATTTTTTGGATTTTTTAGAATTATATATTTTTTTGGGAGTTTACAAGCTCTGAATTTATTCCGAATTCGGGATTTTATGGATTTTCTGGAATTTCGTAGTTACGGATCTTCTCAGAATTATTTTTTTTCGATATTTCTAATTTTTTGGAACTGTGATACATAGATACATTTGTTTGTTCAGATTCACGTTTTCTCCGGTATTTGTTTGGAGATTTTGCGATTTTTTCGGAAGTATTTATTTTTCTCATTTTTGGACTTTTTAGTTTTTTAATTTTCTTCCGATTTTTTCCGAAATTTCATCTTTTTCAGAATTGAATTGAATAACGCGGATTGAATGATTTGAGAATTTTGGATTGTTTCGATTTTTCGAAGTTTTTTGGAATATTTGATTTTGCAAAATTTGGATTTTTTTTTAAGAATTTCATATTTGTTCGGAATTTTCGTTTCTATTTTTTTTTTTTTTTTTGGAATTTCAGATTTTGTTCTTAAGGAATTGGTGCTAGTTTTGAATTTTTCTTCCAGAATTTCGTATTTGTTCGGAATTTCTGAATTTTCGAAAATTTCTATTTTTTTCAGAATTTCTTTTAATTTGTTTTTTTTTTGAAATTTCAGATTTTGTTCTCGGAATTCCGTGTTCTTTCGGATTTTGGGTTTTTTCGGAATTGCGTATAGATATTATTTTGTGGAATTCCGGGGAGCGTCAGAGTTTTGATTTTTTCTGTATATCTGAAATTTTTCGGAATTATAATCTTTTCTGATTTCTTGTCGGCAACTTTTCACAACACTGAGCTTTGTAATTTTCTTGGATAATTAATAATAATTAATAATTTTTAACCTTTGGGCCTCCAAATCGGAAAAATGTCATTAAAAAATAAGAAATGTTTCATTCTACATATTTGCGCCTATGATTAGTCTGATTATTATTTTATTATTTATTATTTATTTTGTATGAAAAATTGTGAAGATAGAAACAAAGATAAATGTCGGAATTAATTATTTTTCCGCTGATACCTTTTGAGTTTAGTTAGTTATTTACTACGCCCATAATTTTCCATTTTGGTAAATTTTGGTATCAATGAAATAAGGCCATGTGCATAATTTAAGCCAAATCGCATACATCCGTGAACATACATATATACCCAGTTGCAATTTGAGCCCTTTGACCGCCTTTTCCAAATTCGTTGTCATTCATTGTTTAATGCATTGAGAATATATACAAACACGTACACATTAATGTTTACTGCACATTTTTTAAGCTATCATTGCATATGTATGTGGATATCTAATTCACTTGCCCTCAGCATTGTTGCAGCGCTTATTTATGTTAATTGTATGTTACTATGCTTGCATGTGCAACAAATCTAAGAAGCAACAGCGGCAACGTAAATATTTTTGTGGTAGCGGTGACGGATGTTCACACTCGTCACACTTGTTGCTGTGAAACACTGTAATGGCAATTTTCATGATTTTACATTTACATATATACATGTGTACATATGTACATACATTTGTATTACAATGATAAAAATATTAACGTTTGTTAGAACTGCATTTTGCGAATTTTGAATGCGTGCCGCGTTCGTTGCAACCTCTCAAGCTATTAGATATATAGCTGCTATTGTGTAATAAAATTTAGCACAGATGGTGAATTAAAATTAAATAAATCTCATTGTTATTTATGTGCAAATAAACACAATGTGTGAATGTACATATGTGTTCATCCGCTGTGTTTGTGTATGATCTCTCAGATTTTCCTTAAATTTTTTTTTGCTTTCTTCAAGGTTATGTTGCTGGTCTGATTGTCAACTCGTACTTAGAAAAGCTGGTACAAATTTACTTATATATATACATACATTCGAGCATATCGTAGATATCTTGAAGATAAGTACNACAAAAAAAAAAAAAAAAAATGAATTTTTACAATTTAAAATTACGCTTTGATTGTGAGCGGTACTCGTTTGTAATTTTTCCACATCGATTTTTTATTTTCTTCTCTTTCTCATCATCTGCATAAATTACCAAAAATTTCGCTATATTTCGAAATTCACCTGCTAACTAATAATAAGAAAGTGTAATTTTTTTTGTCCGATAATCGCATACCTGCTGCATATGTACATATATGTATGTGCATACATAAATAAACGAAAAAAAAAACACATTTCCCTGAAAAAGTTTTTTTTTTTAGCATTTTCTCCTTTATGTTTTATATTTGGACTTTCTTTCTGTTTGACTTTCTATGCTTTAGAAATTTTGCATCATTGCGCGGAACTTTGTTTTCTTGCTTATTTTGTAATTGTCGAAAAGTGTAGTGGAAGGTCATCATTTGCAATGTTTGAGTACTTGGGAGCTACTCACAAAGTCTTTTGCTTTTGCTTTTCGCGAAGGTTATGAGCAATAACAGAAAATAACAAATTAGGGTTCATATTAAGGAACCTTGAAAAAGTTTCTCAAGAATTCATGAAAATCATTTTCCATGCATATAATTGATAGATATGGGGTATTCACAACGGTGTCGTATTGTTGTACAATGTTGTAAATTTTAAAAGTTTAAATAAATGTTTAGCAAAGTTGAGAATACAACCAAGTATTTTTTAACAATGTGAAAATTCATAATACTTATGGCTTTTATGGTATCTTGCGAATCTCCCAAATATAACATTAGCCGTTTAAAGTTTACGACATACATCGTTGTGAATACCCCAAACAAAAATTATATAAAAAATAAAAAAAATTATTTATAAAAAAATTGTAAAATATATACATATACAAAATAATAAAATATATATACAAAAATATAAAAAATACATACATACGTATATAAAAAATACAAAATACATATATGTACATATATAAAAAATAAAAAATATATGTACATATATAAAAAGAGTCATCCCTCTTCCTTGACGTAAATTTGTTCCAAACTAAATAAAAAAATATATAAACAATAAAAAAAAACATAAAAAATAAAAAAGTATAAAAAACAGAAAATAATAAAAAATAAAACAAAATAAAAAAAAAAAAAAGTAATAAAAAAAAAATAAACATAAACAAGTGTTTATATATATATATATATATATAGGGACACGACATCCTAATCAGTTTTGTATATTTTCCTTTCGTTTGTTTCATTTTTATTAATGTTTTATTAAAGACTAGTTAATTATGTAATACTTAACAATATATAAATCGACATTTCAAACTTTGTAGAGGAATTTAAAAAAAGTTCACAACAACCAGCGTTGTATTCTTATTATTATTTTTTAATTCCTAGTATGCAGTTTTGTAGCTTATTAATAAGGTGCAAGTTTCAATAGGCTAGAATTCACGTGGGTATTAAGTTTTTTTTTTGACGACGGTGTGATGATTTTCTTCCATACAAAACAAGTTGTCGAACATAGTAACTTTTCAAACTAGAATATTGTTGTTGTGCAACTTTTTTTAATTTTCATAATTTTATAAAATTTTATAAATTTGCATCTACATTTTTGTTAGACATATCCTTCTGTCTCGTGGTGTATAACGGTACACATAATACCAGGAATTCCTTTATTTTATTGTAAAACTGTTTGAAAAAATACTGTACCGTGAAAAATGCTTATATTTTTAAATGCAGATACCTACTGCGAAACAGGACTTTTTCGCAGTAATATGCAGTTTTTTTCTCTGAAAAAGATACGATCGTTAACTATATGCCATTTAAGTGTTATACAGGCTCAGATTCTTTAATTTCCGAATTTTTTTGTGTAAATAGTAAGTAACTTAAATTGAATTTTTTTCTATATTATATTATAAAATTTAAAATTCGGGTATGCAGTCTTATACCCCGTTCAATTTTAGTATAATACTGTACAAGTGTCAAAGTATGTTCGCAATTTTTTTTTTTATATGAGAGAAAATGAGCAGCACTGTCAGCAAAAAAAAAAAACGCAATATTCGTAAATACTTAGCCGCCTAAAACTTCAAAATATTATACTAAACTGCATACCCGTATTTTTCTAGAAATTCTAATTTAAGAGTTTGAATCTTTGATGAAAAGTTCTTGAAATTTGGCAAGTTTGAAACTTTGAGCTCTCGTTGTTGTGTATGCCATATTTTTGTAAAAAAATAATAGAGAAAAAATTGTCAAAACTTGTAAAGAAGCAGTGCCCCTAATTATGTGGCCACCACTGTATATAAGTATCAATGTACTGCAAATATGTTTCAAAAGTTCAAAACACAATTCTTCAACAAGTTCTAACTGTATACAATTTTTGTTACCTCTCTTTCTTTGCAGAAACCAGTATTTTGCAAATTAAACGAACACAAACGCTAACAACGATTGGAAAAAAAAATATTTGTATTTCTTGTTTGCATAAAAACTGTTGTCCATAGCAAGTAATATTAAAGTGTAAAAGCCAGCCACCGCCGCCGAATTCATTCATTCACTGATTCGTGAGTGAGGTGGGACGAACAATTGCATTGTTGGTTAGACAGTTATTTGTTGACGACAGCAGTGTTGTTGTGGCTGCTTGAATGCACAGCTGCAGCTGGGCGGCAATCGCAATAATATAAAACAACCAAAAAACAACAACGGCTGAAAACGAAAAATAAGAGGAAGTGCAAAAAACGAGCAGCCAACAAACAGCAAACCAGCAGCGCCGTCAACGGGTAGCGGTAGCAAAAATGCAACAAATTAAGTTGCAACAACACGATTGCCAACAACAGCAAATGCAACAGAGACAATACAATACAAGACAACAGCGACAGCGAATAACAAATAACTACCAACAACAACAACAACAACAAGGAAAACAAACACAAGAAGAACAACTGCAACAGCAGAGTCAGAGTCAGAGCCAGAGGCAGCAGCAGCAGCAGCAGCAGCAGCGAAAGCAACAAACCAAACATAAAGAGCAAAAAGTCATTCCAGCCGCATAGTTGTGGCCTTCAATGGAGGAGGAATAATAAATGAAAACAACAACAACAACAACAACAACAACAACAACAACAACAACAACAACAACAACAACAACAACAACAACAACAACAACAACAACAACAACAACAACAAAAAAGACACAAATATTTCAATAAAGACTCACATATTCATATACATACATACATCTAGCGCATAGAAGACAACTATAATAATAATAATAACAACAACAATAATAACAAAAGACTTACCAATCAACGGAACAACTGTTGCTGAACGAAACTGAATTTGCCTGCCAGCCTGCCGGCACTTTTTGAACTAACCAAGGGACATTCACACTTCTCCACTGTCATCGTCACTCGCTGTAGAAGAAGAAGAAAAAGAAGAGGAGGAGGAGTAGCAGCAGCAGCAGTGACACACGAAACACAACAGTATTTGTGGAATTGCAAACTTTTATTTTAAGGTGAGTCCTCCTCTATGAATGTTTGCTTGTTTGTGTGTATGTGTGTGAAGTGGCATTTAGCAGATGACTGGGAATTTTTCGATTATCCATCGACTGTCACGTAAGGGCAATAACCACCAATTTAGTATACCCGTTACACTTTCGTCCGTCGGTCCAAACCTGATTCATTACCATCTCTGGCTCAATTACTCGAATAGCTCATCAATATATCTACAGGCGCCATCAACTGCCACAAATCAATGTTGCATGAAGCCGAAAGTCAGCCTCATCGACAGTCAGATGAATGTTGTTGTAGCATTTGATGTTGTTGCAGTTATGTTAATGACAATCCATCACTTGTAGTAGGTACATATAATGTTTTACAATTGGTTGTTTTTTTGTTTTTGGCTGACTGACGCATCTTTGCAACACATACCGCGTTTGTATTTGCAACAGCAATAATTCCTCAACATTCGCAATGACATCCGATTCCTCATTGCAAACAAAAGTCCATTCAATCAACATATCACATTTTGTCGGTTACTCTGCAAATCATTTATGACTGTGCACATATCTACATACATACATACATACATACTATATCATTAATGATGGGAGGTATTTACGGATGTTGCATGCAACCATTTTTTTTTTGCTTGTCGAATTGCATTGTCTAAAGTATGCAGTGGGAGTTTGGCGAAAGTGAATGTTGAATTTTGATACTTCGACGCTTTGTAGTGGAAACAAAGTACCAGCAATAAAATGCATAGCTGCTAGTAGATGGGATCATTTGACCAAAATTGATGTTGCGTGGAAGAATATGAGATTTTTTTGGGCGACACACAGTGGCATATTTAAAAACTTTTATAAATTAACCGGCATAAAGCTATTGTTATTCAGAAACGTTCAAAGGACTCAAAAGTGGTTAGTACTTTTGAAAATATCTGCTGAGAATGCCGGTGAAGCCGTTTAATTCAACGGATCCTATCGTGGCACTTTCTAAGAGTTACATACATAGGAATTCTTAGCAATTTTTTTATGGAAACTTTCAATTATAACAGTACTTGCTGGTTTGGTCTTACTTCCTTAACATGGAAAATAATGATTTCATATGAAATATTACATAATAAATCTTGGTTGCTAAATTATCATCACCTTAATAACACTGCTTATTTTTCAAGAAATATTTTCTTCAAAAAGGTATAACTAATTTGCAGAGGAATTTGCGTAGCATTTTCATTCCTTTACCAAAAACTAATGCAAAGGTCCCTTTAAGGATCTACGTAAAGAAAAGCCGCGCAAACTCGCTGCAAAAAAGAGAGGAGACCAACTTTAGCAGTTTTTCCAAATAACATAAAGTGTATTAGAATATTAAAAATTAACGTGATCTATTCTGTATTTAGCATCATATCATTTATAAAGTGTGTCTTAACAAAGCTGAAGTAAATTTTCAAAAATACAATAACGAATTCAATATGGCGTCCAAGAACTGAAAAAAAAAATTCTGAACTTCCTGAAATTTGGTATTTAGAGGTCATTAAGTTCGCTCATTATTATTTTGAAACTAGTGTTTGAAAATTCAAAATGCAAAATCCAATATGGCGTCCGAAATTTCAAAAATTCGAATCTGACTAACTTTATTTAAAAATGAGAAAACTGAAGTTTTGGAAATTACACAGGCGATTAGTTAAATCAAAAGTTGAACGAAAGTAGGCAGCCGACCAACTTCATTGAAAGCGATTAGTTGAAAGGCAGTCTACACGAGGCTATTGTTTCTTTCAACTAAAAGTTGCCTGAAAAATCGCCTCATGTAAATTCCCTATTACTCGAGATCTGTGAGCCTTAAAACTTAGTACGTTTAATTCGTTTGAAATTTTCCTTATTTCTAGAGAAATTGACAGCCCCTTCGACAGTCATAAACTTTTAAGGTTTTAATTTGACACGCAATTCGTGATTATAATGTCTAAAAACCTATTCATAAAAAATTCATAGTCCATTTGACAGCTGTTAACTTTCAGGGTTTTAATTTGACATAAAATTCGTGATCGGCATGCCGAAAAACGTAATCAGTGGCATTTTCAGAAAGGTTTTCTTAATCTTAGAGAAATTTGCAGTTGATTTGACAGCTCTTAACCGTCAAATAAAAATTTTTATGGCATATTCGCATTTAGCATTACAACAGTACTACACACAAAAAAAAACGTCTCTTAATTGAAGAAAAACAGCAATCAAAACGAAGAAAAATGGGAACGAAACAGCACTAAAGGAGTTTTATTCTCGTTTCATGCCCAACATTTCTTAAAAATGATAGAATACATCCACGGTTCCATATTTTCGTGTACGTTTTTACACATTCGAAAGAAAAATTACGCATTCGGGAGAATTTTTTACTCATTCGGAAGAATTTTCTACCTTAAAGTAAGTAACGTTTTTCTTTGATCCAGAGATGGATTTTTGGTTCAGTGTACGATCCCGCAGTCCCGATAATCGATAATCCCGATAATCGTAACAGTCCTTCCAATTTTTCGCGTAAAAAATCGCTCCTCCGACCGCTGTGCGACAGTTTATGAACAGCGAAATACACTTTTTCACTGGCGCTACAATAGCTTAAGCGGTTCCGGCCGAGTTCAACGTAGCACGCCACAAATGGAGGGTGCCTACAGTTTTAGGCTGCCTCTGAGCGCCAGAAGGTTTTCAAGAGAAGCTTTGCCATGGCAGATATACACTTTGAGGTATAGGGGAACGCTGTCAGAAGAAAATACGTTCTTGCATGTTGCTCCGACCAGGGATTAAATCTTGTCCTTACCAAGTGATAGTACACGGCTCTTACCACTTGGCCACAGCGACCGCAGTCCAAATTAGAGCGATTATTCGTGGTGTTATTGTTTTATTAGTTAATGCTACATATGACTATCAACAATGTTTATACAGGCATGCTGACTGTGCCTTTGATGGCAGGAGATAACTTCGTTTTTGATTTTGTGAGCCATATTCGTTTTGCTCCCATATCCAATTTGGGAAAAGGCAGAACAATCTTAGCATTAGCCATCCATTCCAGTCCCTATGTAGATTTGTAGTCGTGTACAGATACGAGGGTGACAGTGGTGCAGAGGAATAATCATTCGTCGAGGACCCAATGCTGCTTTATGCAATCCACCTTCTCAGACCCAACGTTACCGAAAACCACTGGACGACCCACATGTGCAGAGACCGGTCGCCACCAGTATTCTCACCGTTGGTAGTAATCATCGAATGACCTAGTAATTCACTCACTGGTCGCCATTAGCACTCTCACCGTTAGCGCCGAAAGTCACCAGTTGAGAGCCACCAATTGTCTAGTCGCACTAAAGCGGTTCTTTCAACGTCTTTGAGAATTGGCAACATCAACCGCCGTCAGTCTCTCTCTTCCTACACCAACGTTACCATTCACCGTGTCTCATTGCATATATGGTTCTGGGACCTGATCAATAGAAGTGGAAAGTGCGACACTGGCAATACTGGCACTACTTTGATGCGGATTATGGCTGCAAAATATGTCTCGCTCCACAAATCCGATGCTCCAGATCGTCATCAAAAGTAATACGTCTCATCCGAGGTGGTATAAACTGTTTATTGCAATTATTCGTGTTGCGGCTTCGTCGAAAGAAGCCTATTCTATAATGTTCCTGCTGCGATACCGCTATAAAATACTACTTCCTTGCCAATTCTATATCCTACCGAGCCATTCGTTTATGTCACCAGGATATTGATGATATTCTAACGTTTCTAATACCTCTGAATATTTTACCTTTTTGTAAGAATTATTTTATATACCTGCTGATAAATACATATTTAACTGCGTTTACTATTTTATCTATTAAAAAAAAAGACAGCCGTTTAAGCCCAAGGTAAGAAAAGTACCCTTGACTATTTTTGGAATGCTCTGTCGGCATCCATTCGTCTTCTTCCGTACGACATACTTTCGCTGAAAAATACATTTCTGAAATAACAACTTTTCGTGCTTTTTAAGTTCGTACTATCTTTGGTGTTGTTTTGCATACCGAACGTAGTTTTATATGGTGCTTTCAGCAAAAAAAACCCCTAAGTTAGTGAGCCGTCTCGCTTTTAAACCAGTTTCAAATCCCTTCTAATGTTCCGCGCAGTTTTGAAACGATCCTGTAAGCAAAAGCGGATTCCTCCTTCTACGCTGGTCTTGACAATGCTCCATTATTTAATTTTTTCTGAATTCGGCTTTCATTTAATCTGCGTATTTTTTTAACTGGTTAATATCTAATGGTGCCACCTGGGGAAAATAATTTTTTTTTTTTCATAGAACTGCTATGAAATCGTAAACTTTTTTAAATCATTTTTGGTCGAATGAGAATATTCCCTTTCAGAAATATTCAATAAAAAAATTGCAATGCATATTTAACTTTCAAATTTTAATATTTTATAGCAATTCTACGAAAAAAATTATATTTTTTTCCTACAAAATACATTCAAATGCTAACCAATTTCAAAAGAAAAAAAATACCGTTCTGCTTATTTTCCGTGTTTCTCAGTTCTGGATCATAGTTAACCAATCCATAAATGCATATACTATTTTGTAGATGACTAGCTATACCCTCGACAGTAAGTATCTCCTTGTTTACATAATTTGAAATTAGTCGCGTAAATTTCAAAAGATTTTTAAATAAACACCAAGTATTTATATCATTTTCTGACAGCTTCCACAAACTAAGTAGATACGAGT